ATACAGTTTCCATTTATCAGAAAATGTCTTTAACTGAGCAGAGCTGCCAGGAAATAGTCTCCCAGCTCAGCTTAGAGGGAGGGGGGTGAAAAACGTGTATCACCAGGCAAATAGCCACTCTTAGGTCTCGTGTATTAGAAGGACGTGTCTCTGGAACCCGCTCCAATTAGTCCTCTCCCAGGTAAGGTAAACCGAGGTAAACTGAGGTTCCTCTGGGGACAGGAGGCGTAGGTGGCTGGGGGCCCACAGCAGAACGTGTCTTCCCTGAGTGACAGTCATATGATTTCACTGGGACCCAACCGGAAGAAAAAACGGTCTGACAAAATGGATATGAAGTCAGAATTTTAAGAATATGTTCAAGTTTGCCTTTCCTGTAGTAATGCTTGACTGCTTGGAATTTTAAACAATTTCCTTTCCCTTTCCATTCTGGATTATTTTCCCAGGATGATATACAACTGTCCTCTAACCATTAGGAACCAACCCACAACTGATGAGTCATCTTACAGAGACGGAACAGATCCTACTGGCTGGGACCGTGGTGGGGCCTAAGAGAGAAGGTCCCAGGAGGAATGGTGGTAGGTCCCTTGGAGGTTTCCTAGGAGAAGAAAGTCACAGCGGGAGGCTGGAGGTGACTCCTGGGGAGTGTCTTCGCTGGAGTCCTGGAGGCTTATCTGAGGCCACGCACGGTTGACCCACCAACTGCCCCGTCTTGCTCAGAGTCTGTGTCAGCCAGACCTCCTGCTGACTGCTGTGCACATCTCCAAACACCAGCCCGCTGGGACCTGATGTCTTGTCCCACGGACGACACCACTGGCAGTAAGACAAGAATCCATCCCAACCCCTAGCAGTTAGGTTGATGAGTCTGCCCTTGAAGAAAGAAGCCTTCAGACAAATCAGGCATCTGATCCTGCCTGCAAAAGAGTAGCCCCAAGGGTGGAATGACTGAAGTGACAGTGCTCCAGGGCTCTCTGGGGACTTGGCTTTGCCTGTCTCACCCCAGAGGTGCCTGTTCCCATCTCACTTGTACAGTTTCTATGTAGGCCTGAGAGGGGAGGCAGGTAGACATGTAGGAGAGGCAGGAGAAAGGAGAAAGGCTGGCTTAGTGAGAATTTTGAGACTTCTGAGGGGAAGGATCAGAAGTGTAAAGGGACAAAAGTTTACCTCTGCCCTCATAGGGTTTTCACCTGGGCCTGAGAATTAAACTGACATAAGACAAATCAAGAGGGGAAAAGCATACAGGTTCATTTACTATAGGTTTAGGTAAGCCTTCACAGGCAGCAAAGACGCCAAGAAGCGACAAACCTGAATGCTTTTATACTGGGTTGAACAAAGAGAAGGAATTGCAGAAAAGTAACTAAAATACATGGGGAGGCTGAGAAATGTGAGAGTTATTTTTTAAAGGTCTGTTTGTACAGAGTGCTCTCAGCTTGACTCCCTGTCCTGCAGGATGAGAACGTTACTTCCCTCCAGGCACAGGGGGGTCATCTTCCACGTGGAGTCCTCTCTCGGGCTTCCAGGAAGAGCACCCTTCTTGCACCTGGTGTTATTTTAAGTGCATTTTGCTCAAAATAGTCCTTATGCTCAGGTGGCATATTGTGGGGTTGCATGTCCTGCTACCCTTCAGAAGAATATAAACAGTACTTCACACTTGCTTCATGGCTTATGCTTTTTCAGATACCTGAACACACATCTTTGCATTTGCTCTTCACAACTATCCCATTAGACTGACCAGGAACGTATCGCTATTTTCATTCTCCAGCTCAGAAAATGAGGCTTGCTGAGGTCAGAAAGTGGAGCTACACTGAGAGCCCAGCGCTGTCCCTACGACTAAGACAAACATTCCTTTTACAATATGCTGCAATAGAGCATAAAATAGTCATACCAGAGGTGTCTATCAAGGCTCAGTGAAGTGCACTCACTGATCTGAGTTGGATGAAAAGATGGAGAAGGCAGGATTCTAGTCCTCTGGGCCCGGTGTGCAGATGTGCTGATGCAGCACCCCGACGGTAGCACCAAGGTCCCTGTGGGAGGCGTCTACTGATCCAGAGGATGACCCATCAGAGGATGGATGAGCAAACCAGGGTGCCAGATGCCTCCACTTTCCACAGAGGCCCAAGGGCAGCTGGTTTCAAAGGTTACTCATTATTTACAAATGACTGTCTGCTCTTTAAACCCAGGCAGTCTGGGTTTCCTTTGGATCGTCTCACCCTCTTCCAGCAAGTTCTAGCCCTCCTGGGCTTTTAATGAGAGGGAATGGCCACTTGGGTACAAAGGATAAGAGAAATGATGAATAAGGGCTTGAGCACAGGATCGCCAAGGAAGTGACGGGAATGGACTTTCACAGCAGACTTTCTCACCACCTCTTTGACCCTTGGAAGAGAAGAACTCATTCTTTTTAAGTAGCCGAAACGTGTGACACTGTTGTTGCTCTAACAATAAACAAACATGACCCTCCCCAAACCCAAGATATTCCTCACTGGTAAAACAGGGCACGCCAGTATTAAACTTGCACTCCTAGAGTGCTTGGTACAGAATTCCAGGGAAGATGCTAACAGAATTCCAGGGAAGATGCTAACATCCTATGCGTGCCACGAGAAGGGGGCCTGTCATTTATTACAGGGATTCCCATTAACTGCTGCTGTCAACAGGACTCCAGCTGGCTCAGTGCTAATGCATTATTAGGAGACTTTGGACATTTCATAAACATTGTAAATAGGCTCAGTATAACTGATTGCTCTTCATAATGACATTATTAAAATTGAAAAAATCGCCTTTGATGGAAGAGGTTAATAGACAGCATTTGGTGGAGAACGTTCACTTGTCGGCTTGTGTTTTGGGCTCTGTAATTAGCAATTTCAGGTAAGAACTGCAGTGGAGCCCATGATGTGCTTAGCGTTCTGTGACTCCAGTGGTAACATCTGGACCTAAGCATCTTTGGGGTGCACTGCTGAGAAAAGCTGAAGGCTCCTGGTCAAATGATGTCTCCATTTGAAAGGAAGCATCAAGCTAATTATCCTCTTCCCTATAAAGGAAAAAAAGTTGCCCCCAATTCAATGAAAGGGTCACTAACCAACATCCAAGATTTCTTTATGTGCAGAAGCTTCAATTCATCCATTTTCTTGAAATACTGACTGCAGCTTACCTTTGGATTTTGCAGAACACTTTTTGTTGTAAAGCTTAAACTAAAACGGCAGATGGATGAGAAGCAGCAGCAGGAGAACCTATTCAGAAAGACTATTCCTGTATCTGCACAGAGATCCCTGATGGGTGACGGCCTGGAAAACAGGCAGCTTGGAAGGCACCAACCTCTCCTGGACAACTAGGAAACGTGTGCAACCATAAGGCCATCATATTTGGGGTGATTAAAAACCAGATTAATGATAATAGGGAAGGAATAAAGAAAACAGAAAAAAAAACCCCTAGGTCTTTTTATTCTAGGAAAGCTTTAGAGTGAGACTCTAAATCTCAGATAATCTTTATCATTATCAATTTATATGAAGCCCCACTGAATCACTGTCTGGCTACAGAATTCCAGGGAGACAGAAGGTTATGTGGTATCTATCCTAATCTCAGAACTACATTTTAGTTGATAATATAAAATTTTATCTCATCAAACCTTGGCTGGAGCTGTTAAGTGCAGCATATTTGGGTGGTTTAATGCTATCTTCCTCCTCAAGGTTGACCTTATATCTGCCTGGGGTTGAGGGATACTAAAAAGAAGTCTTCTTCAATCAAAGTTCTTTCTACATTTACCTGCCTCTCTTTTTCTGTTAAAAGTTCACCTGTGGACATTGGTTTTTTTTTTGTTTTTTTTTTTTTTTTAAGTTGCTGCAAGAGTGTACTGTTAAAAAATTATTCCTCTGGAAAGTATGCACTGTAAGACATTATTAGCAATTATAATATTTATTATTCTTGTTAATATGAATAGAAACAATGGTTAAAGTTGTGTGCCAATCAGTAGGCTAGAAGTATATATGTCACTTATCATACCATATAGATCATATATCACCATATATTATATATCATATTATGACTATATATATGATATGACTGTACATCATATCATATATATAGCAAATGATTATAATTTTCATTTTACTGATGAAGAAACCGAGACTAGAGAGAAGCTGTATAACTTGCTCAAACAGGTAGGAAGTGGCAGACATCCCCTCAAACTTCTTAAACACTCTTCACAGCCAGCTACCCTCCTTCTTCCTTTTCTTCCCTCTCTCCCTCTCTTCCTTTTCTCCTTCTTCCTTTCCTTCCTTCCTTCCTTCCTTTTTTTTCTCTTTCTGTTCTTTTCTTCTCTTTCCTTCCTCCCTTCTTTCCTTCTTTCTTTTCCTCCTTTCCTCCTTTCTTTCTTTGGACCCACAGCAGGCCCTCAGGTTAACAGAAGCCGGGGCTACACGCCTTGGAAGGGAGGGAGAAGTATGACCAGAAGACCGCCTGACGCTGAGCTCGGGCCTCGAGTCCGGGTCTGGTACACTGGTTCCCCAGGAATGTAAATGAACCATGAAACAAGTGTGCAGAATACAAAGACTTCCCGAACCTCCACATTAGTTTTTTCCATCACTCTCCCCTTGCGTCTCCATCTCTTTCCCCCTGAAGATGGATGACTCAATGAATCAACCTTTTCTTAACCTTGTTAATATCAATAGAATAGTTTTAAAAACTGGATTCAAATAATACTCCTTTTCTTTTTTTTCCAGTGTACTGTTGTCCCCAGACTAAGAAGGGACTGGAGGTCAACGTGCTCAGGTTCTTGGTTCATCACTAACCCCTGTGAGGAAGTCCCTGAGGTGCGGAGAGTTGAGACAGATCGTGGCTCATGTGGTCACTGCAAAGGCACAAGGTGGTGGAGCTAATGATGCTGGAGGTGCCGCATGTTCCTCAGGTGACAGTCACTGCAAAGGAGCATGGCATCATTACAGTAACCACAGCTTTAAGACACACACTTTTTCTCAGAGGATCACAAACTCATGACCTGAGTCACATCGTGGAGAACGGGATTAGCCTTATGAAGCTGGGCGGGGTGACTCATGGCATCCTCACATGCCCTAACTTTCCGGGATCCCGAGGAACAAAGAGCCGCGGGCAGGTTCCAGCAGCATCTCAGGGGATGGCTCTTCTTCCCGCGCCTCTTTGCAAAGACCCGCTGGGCCTTGAACATCGCTCAGTCCCCACAGCAAGGCTCCGCCGGGTGACACCTGCCTGGAGTCGTGCGACGGAACCGCACAGAGCGCAGTGGCCACAGGATACTCCAAATACTAGGAGGTTGCCCCTGTCCCTCCTCCTCCCCCCACCCCCTCCGTCCCAGTTCCATGTCTGCCTGTTTCCAGGCCACCAACTCTGGCTCAGAACTCACCCGACGCCCCAAGAGAACAGGGCTGGTCTGCGATCCCAGCAGAAGAGGTGAGTACTTGAAGAGGCTGCACCATGAAAAGCACAATAAATGGCCCACCCCCACCCCCAGCCCTCCCTCGCCTTGGGCTGCAGTGGGCTGTTTTCCGGGCTGTCATGTGATGAGCTGTGGATATGACAGAGTCACTCTCCGCACACAGAGTCTGGGCTGTGTCGCTTAGGGGCTTGAGCCCACCAGTAGGCACGCTGGCTGCCCACATAGAGCAGGGATTCCTGATGCTTCGCTCCACGTGCTCGCTGAGTTCTCCGGGGAAGCCCCCAACGTCCACCGTCCTCCCCTGTCGCCCTGCCCTCGTGTAGACACAGGACCCCCAGGGAATGAGCACCTGCTTTCCCGTTTATCAGCGAGGATGCTTAGCATACTTGACTTACAAAATCACGCTGGAAGATGTCGAGCTTCTGCTTGGTGGCTAAGCTGGCCCACTTTGAGGGGAGATCAAAGGGCTGGAGCTTTCCAAAGTGCAGTTAAATTTAACATTCCAAGAGTCAGGAGGGCAGATTAAAATAGGATTCTGCCTGCAATAACACTCAGGGCCTGTTTCGCATTACTAAGAGGGCTCAGCCAGGAAGGTGCTTTGCAGGGAGCTTCCGAGGCTCCTCTGCTTCCCCGCCTCATCTCAACAGCCACAGGCTTTTCTCTGTGGTGGGTGGTTGCCAGGCAGGGCCTGTTCCTTCCTTCCAGGAGGGAGCCCAGCTGCTGCAAATCAGCGCTTTATTCTCTGCAGCAATGGCTGCAGGACAATGAAAACACCCAGCTTTGGGAAAGGGATTTACAAACAAGTGTAACAGGATAATCTGAAGATGGCTGTAGAGAGAATCACCTCATTCAACACCAACTATTTGAGATATTTGTGTCATGTTGGCATCTCACTCCAATGAGGATCTTTGCTTTCTTCATCATAATTATTTTACTACTATTATCACTATTAATTTGCCATCTGTCACTGAGAAGGCCAGAAATGGTGAATTCATTAGAACTTGGGGAAAGAAGTGGCCCCGAGGCCATCCTGTCCCTGCCTGTGTTGGCAGGACCACTCCGCCAGAGAGGTGCCAGGGCCTCCTTTCCAAAGGTTTGGGAGTCTGTTATCTATAAACCAAATTTCTCTTTCTTTCGTGTGATCCAACATAATTTAAAGAAACTAGATACACGGTACTGTGTACGAACAAGAAACACAAAATGCTACTTCAAAGAGCTCTGGCTCCAGAAACAGTGTGTACTCTGACAGAAACAGTGTGTACTCTGACACCTCTGACCGGTGTCAACAGGATACCTTTCACTTCCAGCCAGAGGTTTGGACCTTGGCTATATACAGGGGCACATCTTACCTTTCCTAACCCCACCTTGATATCCTGAACAGACATTGATTAGTAACGCCCATTTGCCTGTGAGGAAACTGATTAAAAGATTGGCCCAAGGTCACACAGCTACTAGCTGGGAAGGTGAGGGTTAAATTCTGGTTAAGTCTAATTCTAAACCTAAAACCTGGGCTACTCATGGGCAGCCCTGACACCAAAACAAAAAGTTATATTCATGTCCAAACTCAAGGGCAGCAAAAACTAACCAGAATTTACATCATGTTCCTAGTAATCTATCTGTCATTTATTCTGAATATGAACACAATTAGGTACAAAAAAACTGTATTTTCAAAATAGAACACTGTCTCAGCCCCTGCTGGGGGTGTTATACAAAATATGATGAATATACCATATTACCTTCCTAAAATCAGACAAAAACGTACTTTGAAACATGTATCTCAGGGTTTTGCTCAGGGGGCGGTGGACCTTTTCAAGTAGAAGGTTCACAGCAGTGCCGTGTAATATCGTCTGTATGTTATGAAACGTGCATTAAATATCAGAACCTAGTAGAACTTTAAGTGAATGTAATTCAGTTTCCTACTCAACAGAAAAAGAACCTCCCTCTGCATCTTTGACAGCTGCTTGCTCAGCTGGTCTGGCCACCTCCACAAGTAGACTGTTCCTCTGACTGTCAGCAAGGTGGTTAGAGAATCCTTCCCGCTTCTCAGCCAAGCGTCCTTCTCCATGACGCCCCTTGGCTCCCCTTCTGTTTCATGGCCAAGCAGCACAAGGACCCCATACGTATACTCTTTCCAGTGCTGACGTTTTACAGCACCAACACTTCAAATGATTGTTTTAAAACATAACCACCTATCTAAACATTTTAAAGTGACTTGAGATCTTTGAATCAAAATTTTGGCCCCAAAATTCTATGCCATTCAATAGATGCTTTTAGTTTTTTGTAGCTCTGATGCCCCCTCAACAATTTTAGCGATGAAACTTTTAAAATACTCTACATATTTAAAAGAAAAATCACGAAGTAGATGCTGAATAAATTCAAGTGTTTTTCCTCCTTTACATCTCCATATGGGGGTTGGTGGGGGGGATTAAGCTTCTCTGGCAGAATGTAGAGAGTGTATCTTCCTCAATAATTGGGTTGAGAGTGGCGTTTACCATTCAGGGAACCGTTGCCCTGGGAGAAGCTGGATCTGGCTGCAAGTCTAGAGATGAACATTTTCAAAATATTCTTAGAACAAACTAAGCTATTCACATCTGAACTAGACTTTTATTTTTAATTTAAAGAAAGAAAATGGATTTAAGAAATGCAAGAGAGCTACATTAACAAGAAGCTGTAGAGCCTGAGACCCATGTCCTGGCAGCACTGGACCATGTAAATGCCCTGACGGCTCCGCGAGGGGATTGTGTCTCGGGGCATCTCTTCCTCTCGCCCACGGGCTTGAGGGGATCATTCCAGTGACGGGAAACACAGTCCAACCTGGTTGACAGGATGTCACACCATGACTCCCTAAATCGTGGCCAATTCTGAGACTTGAAAGCCCTGAACGGGGATCAGTCGCAGTCTCCTTCTGCCTTGTCCATCTGCCATTAGGTGACGTGTGTTTGTGTTTTCTGTGACTCCTGTGCTCACCACCCTGCCTCAGACTCAAACCTCACAGCTCTTTCCAGAGAGGAAGCAGGCACCAAACACCAGGCTTCTCCCTCACCTTGCTGTCACCTGCCACTATGGTATTTGCTCTTTACTTTCAACCTGTCACCTTCCTGCATCGTATGTCATTTTCCAAGTACATGAGGCAGTTTCACTGAGTACTAGGCTGCAGTTCTGTAATTCTTGAGCTTGAAACCTCCTACTTAACATTCCGCTTCTTTACTCCCGAAGTGCATTCACACATCGAGTTACTCAAGAGCTCCCCTGGCTGAAGGCTCCGCCCAGTTTCTCTGACACCCTCTGGGAGGTGCCCCTGAGAGGCCCTGGAAGATGACAGCCCACCCGACGCTCCTGCAGGGACCCGTCCTCAGCTCTCATGGGTGCTGAAGACACAGCACTCTCCTGACTTGATTCCAAACAGAACCGTCTTTGCCAAACTATCAGGTGCCTGTCCATACTGCACTCGCCCACAGCCCACTAACTCCTAAAGAATTCAGCCTGGTTGATGCTGCTTCTCCCTCTGAAGAAATGCCCAAAGAATTCCCTGAGTGAGGCCACAGACCAGGGCCGCCTGAACAGCCTCTTGGTCTCTGGTGACCCAACACCTTCTCTTTGTACAAGGTAATCTTCAGCGGGCAAGTCAGGGGTCTGTCAACTCCAGAGACAGCAAATGACTATGAGATTAAATTCCCAACCTTTTCCCATTTTCCTGGTATTTCCCTGCCATCTTCTCAGATACCACAGTTCCGTTTCTCCAGAGGTATCCTCTGTTCTTCCCTGCTCCAGGCTCCTATTGCTTAGGAGGCAGAAGCACGTGTATGTAAGTCTTGTCTCTGACACCTAGTAATCATCCTGTGTCTGTTTCTATTGGTAACGTGGGGTAACCACAGTGCATACTTCTCAGGTTTGCTGGGAAATCTCTACTTCATAGTGATAGACAATCTGATCAATGGCGATGCTGTGTTAGATTTGACAAAAATTAGGCAGTAGACTTAGGAAAACTTGAGCATCTTCCAGTTGTTATTTCCCATTCAAAGTTTCCCCTCAAAGTGACACTGGTAGGAATCTGTCGTGGTGAATGCTCATTGGTTCTGGAGATGCTAAAGGGGTGTTCATTGAAAGAGAGATGTATGCTTCGGTCTTAGTTACTCAGGACTGACGGTAATAGCTTCGACTTATAAATACACATGTCCTGGATCTGTTTTCTTAGCTGACGATAAGCTCACAGTTGTCTTATCTAGTGATTACACAAACTGGAAAGGGCCATAGTATAGCCAAAAATACCAAGACACATGAGCTGAATGTGATTTTTATATGCTGGCATAATATGATGTTTCTGACTTTGGAAAGTACCTACATGATTAAACCTCTTCACTTTTACTGAAGAAGGATAATTTGCTTCAGATTAGAGTCAAAACAATGAAACTGATTATAGAAAAATGACCTTTCTCATACCTACGCGTATCAAGTAGATTCTTGGGGAAGCAAGCCCAGCAGGTAATCCATTTAACTAACTGACTGAGTCCATGAGACTCTAAGAAGCCATTTTTACTTTTACTACCCTAAGCCAGTTCCATCACTGGGAGCCCACGAGTTTCCCTGGAGTCACCTCGGTGAGATAACATGTGTTGTATTTGGCCTGGAGACATCAGCCTTTTTTATTTTTGTTTTTACTCAAAGTTTGTATTTCCACATTTAACATTTAGCAAGATCCTTGTTCTGATGTAATGTCATCAGCATCTGATACTGTCGGGACTGAGAACTTGGTTTAGAATCTTGCTCCCACTCCTCAGATAAGGCTGAACACTCAGGGCCCGTGACGATATATCTTGGTCTGCTATTTGCTTCCTTCCGGAGAGAGGTGGTCCTGCAGCCATTCCAGGTTTTTAGTATTCCTGTGTATTTTTACACGTTCTTAGGTAAGTCCATGGTTAAGATGCATTATGGGTAAGCAAATTTTATTAACTTCTAAAGAACCATCTGGAATCATATGTGTGGCTGGTATACATAAAAGTGTAATAGAGAAATATAAATATGAAAATAATAGACTTAGTCTAAATAAGTAATCTTGGATAACTGGCTGCCTCTAAACCAAGAATATAGAGCAAGAAATATGTTTGCAACAAGGTTTGCTTCTCTGCCCTCATGTGAAGGAGGTGGATCTAGGCTCTTACATGAAAGGGTGCAGATAATAAATGTACTCATTGCATATTTATCCTAAAACTGGTGCAAGGCTAGTCTGGCTCTAGGTAACAATTAAAAAAAAAAAAAGATCTCCTTTCTCTGTCTCTTGTTTCTATTTCTGTGATGATTTCTTCTTGTCAAAAGCTATGAAAGGTCTGTGATTCTATCTTCCTTGCAAGCTAAAATGTTAGCCTCCCACAGTTTCATGGGTGCAGGCAGAAGATGTGAGATTCCTGGGTCAGAGGTAAAGGACAATCTATTACTCACAGAAATTGCAGTTGTCTGAATATCACCCATTTTTCTTGTGCTGGTTCCTTAAAGTTCCAGTCCCATGGAGCACCATGAAGTGGGTCAGGTGATACAGGCACATGCATCAGGTTGCTGGATTAGTCAGGGTTCTCTAATAAGTGATATCTATATCCATATCTGTATCTACATCACCTATATCAATAGATAGGTAGATCGATGATAGATTTATTATAGAAAAAGGCTTGTGTGATTGTGCAGGATGAAAAGCCCACCATCTGCCGCCTGCAAGCTGGAGACCCAGGAGAGCCGGAGGTGTGACAGTCTGAGTCCAAAGGCGCAAGAACCAGGGAGCTAATGGTGTAAGTCCCAGTCCCACTCCAAGGTCAGAAGAAGATGAGAGGACAGGTCCCAACTCAATCAGTCAGGCAGGATAAAAGGGGTGAATTTCTCCTTCCTGTGCCTTTTGTTCTATTCAGACCCTCAATGGATTGAATGGTGTGTACCCACATCGGGGAGGACCATCTACTCTACTCAGTCTATGAATTAAAATGCTAATCCCTTCCAGAAACACCCTCACAGACACAGTCAGAAATGATATTTAAAATGGACACTACGTGGCTAGTCAGGTCCAAACATAAGATTAACCAGCACAGCCAAAGCTTGGAATCCCTAATCTTTCATAAGGGGCATGCCTGCCCTGTGCTCCAGAGGGGGATCCCGTCCATGCTCCTGTAAGCAAACTTGCCCCTTTCTCAGAGAGAGACATTGTCACTGTCTCCCAAAGCTCTTCACTCTACAAACATCCATCAAGAGTGTCCAGAACAAATGCCCACAGGGCATGCAGAAACAGAAGGGGTGCACAAAGAATTGTCTCCCAGCATTTCTTTCTTCCCCTTTAAATCCATGGAATCACATCAAAACACAAAGCTAAAATAAGTTATTTGCACCATGATGAGAATTATTTCCTATCATTATCTCTCCTCTTCAGGCATGTCTGTATTTTAAAATCAGTATTGCTAACTGCAGAGCTGGAGACATCGTGTTGCTGTTACAGAAACCTCAAGCTTTATTGGGTAAGCTGGAAACAGCTTTGGGAGCCAGGAGAACTGCCTGTACCGGGGGTGCAGAGGCAGAAGTGAGAGCATCATCAACAGCGTCCGTCCATACTTCCTACCCACGTTAGGAGCTGCCCTTATTTGGGACCACATTTTCTAGCCCATCCTGCAGTCAGAGGCATCCATACTAGTGCAGTTGAGTAAGGAATACGAGCAGAACTGTACCCATAAGACCCTCCCCTGAGGCCCCTCCACACTTTTCCCTTTTGAAAAAATGAGGATGGTCAAAGGAGGACCTTAGAAGCTACACGCAAAAGATGGCGGAGTCTTTGTGTACAAGTTGGACAACTATGAACACACTCACTGACTTAGTTCTGCGTGTTCTTATGCTACTTTCTGTGTTGAAGCTATTACATATTTCAGGATATTACTTATATTTATTTTAGGGTTGCTTGTTATAGTAACTAGCCCACCCTATTACAAGTAAGTTGTATTGATTAGGAGTGATCTTAGAGAAATGTGGAACAGTTTCTCAGCTGCCCCAAAAGCATCCACTCTGACCTTTGTAATTTGGGTGACATCTTTTTTAGAGATTTTAGACTTCTATATTCTGTCTTATGGCAGAATATAAAGTTGATTAAAATGAAGAATACAAGGATGATGAAGATAACATAAATGCTATCACTCAAATGTCTTCCATACACTTGAAGGCATATAATTTATGCCATCCAAGACTGATGAATTACCTAAATATGCCCTTCATAGTAGAGATCCCACAGTTAGACTAATATCTCCAAAGACCTTAGACAGCAATATCTTTGTTTGCCAACTTGTTAAAACTAAAACATTTAGCAAAATTCAAGCTATAATAAAAAGAGCTGGTGGCAGCTTATTATGTTTAATGACAATCACAAACTTTTGGCTTACTGGAGGCAAAACTCCACTGCAAAGAAGAATGTATGGATACACTTTAACTAATAAATAAATACACAATTAGCTAAATATGGTCTAGAATTCTGTGTATTAATATAAAGCAAGGGCCAGCAAAGTTTTTCTATAAAGGGTCAAACAGGAAATATCTTAGGCTTTGTGGGCCAGACAGTCTCAGTAGAAACTGCCCAAATGTGCTGTGGCACCAAAAGCAGCCTCAGGTAGGACATAAATGAGCAGACATGGCTGGCTGCCAATAAAACATTATTTACGAAAACATCTCTGCACTGGATTTGGCCCATGTGCCTGAGTTTGCCAGTCCCTGATGTAAAGAATCTATATTCTTGTGTGTGTAGAGAAAGTTTTGTATCCTATAGAGCACATCCTTCAGGGTTATCAGATTCTAATTCTGTGCATTGTCTGAGGTTTTTTGTAATTCTTTGTAAGTTAGAAGTAACTGATTTAACTGGCTTCCTCCCCCCCCCATCCTCTCCAGTCTTGTGCCCACTTCCAATAGATCTCTACCTTCCCTTATTCCACGTGCATTTGTGCTGTTTAGACTTTTCCATTGAATGGGTCGTCACATCTGCCTGGTTTCCTCACAACATATGTGTTACATAAATTCTTATTTAGTTATTTATTTATTGGCTGCATTGGGTCTACATTGCTGCGTGCCGGCTTTCTCTAGTTGCGGCGAGCAGGGTTTACTCTTCATTGCAGTGCACAGGTTTCTCATTGTGGTGGCTTCTCTTGTTGCAGGGCACGGGGTCTAGGCACACAGGCTTCAGCAGTTGTGGCACGTGGGCTCAGTAGTTGTGGCTCTCGGGCTCTAGAGCGCAGGCTCAATAGTTGTGGTGCATGGGCTTAGCTGTTCCGCAGCATGTGGGATCTTCCTGGACCAGGGATCGAACCCATGTCCCCTGCATTGGCAGGTGGATTCTCAACCACTGTGTCACCAGGGAAGTCCCTACATAAATTCTTTAACATGTATTCTCTTTCAATCAGTGTAGAGTAATGATTTTAGCTTTTTCTGAAAAGTATTTCTTAATTGCATGCGTACTGTATGTGTTCGTGCACATGTGCGTGTTTAATGATCAAAAGTGATCAGTAGCTCGGACACAAAATTCTAAGTGAAGGTATTTCCAGACACGTGAAACCAGCCGCTCCCTCCCCAATCTCACAAATAGATGGTTACAGCATTGTATTTATATAGCTTCTCCCAAAAGTGCTTTCACAGCCATTAGCTCATTTGTTTCTTTCAACACCTTTCCAGGCTTTGTTAAGACAAATGATTATTAAAATCTCATCAAGGAGGAAAGAAAAGAACTTCACAAATGAATTTCTGTGTCTGCTTGGAAAGAAGAGCTAATTAAAGATCAGCACATAATCACTCATTCACTTTACTGTCCTTCATGCCCACTCAGAGGAATATTCCTCCCTCCTGTTCCACACCGGCTTTACAGTTTGCTTAACCCACCATCTTTTTCTAAGCAGCAGGAAGATTGTAATGACAGTTGAGTTCTGGAGTTAACTTGGATTGGTTTGTTTATCTGACTAGTATGGGATGCGTTCAAAAGTTAGCAAAGATTTACTTTTCAAATTCTAAGTTTCTGTCATCAGCAAAATGACATTATGAATATTATAGTCTTATGACTATCAAGCTGATATGCATTTTTAACAACCTCCTCCTGACAAACTTTCTCTTGGTCACACAGATAGAAGGCAATCTGACACTTAGAAGCTGCCACCAGACAGAAGTCCACTGAGAGAAAAGGAGCTGCCACTGGCCCGCGTGCAGAGCTTGCAGCAGCTGCTAATTTCAAGGCAGGAAGTCTTTTTCAATGTTGCTTGTAAAAATTTAATTTCAGCATTAAACAAACTTCAGAAATAGAAACTCAACAGGGGAGACATGAATGTATATAAATAGACGGGCTTGTAAAAGCCAATTAAAGCCTACACTAGAATCTGCACAGGAGATAAGAATGATAGAACACAAATGGGAAAATTCAGGGTCACTCCAGCTAACAGCATTGCTACAGAGTATTTGCATCTCCTCTGTTTTTAAGCAGGGAGGTAGCCAGAAGAGTATCTTCATCTTTCATAGGACTATGCTGCTATAACAATAGGTGACACGTCTGAGCATTTTCCAGAAAAATTATAGGGTGACTTATCAAGGAAAGCATACAGTGTTTCTATTTTAGATTTTAAGTTTGATGGAGGAAATTTCTAGAGTAGATGGTCTTGCTCATAAGGCTATATTTCAACTAATTTTAGTACTAACTTCCTTGGGGATTTGAAAGAAGAAGTAAGCAGATTTCAGACTCAAGACCAACTTCTTTGGGAGTTTCTATAGCATTCAATTTTATGTCATTGAGAGTCTGTGTTTGCATTTGTTTCTGTATTCAGAGACAACTAACTAACTAACTAACTAACTAACTATATATATATATATATACACACACATATATATACATATATATATGTATATATATATATAAAAATCTTTGAGGAGCCATTAGAGACTTTGCTCTTAAATATATAAAAATAACCACTTGTTTGCTGTTTTCCCTCTATGACTACTAAAGCATTATATTACATAGTAGGTATGTGATTATATATTCTACCATTTGTACATGGCTGAAGATATGAAATGAAAATTAAGATATTTAGGTTTCTATTGGCTTAAGTCATTTTAAATATAAGATATTTAATATAACTTTTTAGCTGTTCACAGACTATTAAATGTCAGACATTATTTTCCTACGTTCAACAATAAAATGAAATTCTTTATACACTTTTCCCCCTTCATGATAAAGAGATAAATAGTTAAAGGGAAACTGAGTGCATATAGTTTCAGATCCAGTGAGTCCAGCTGACAAAGAATCGTATTAAAAAAGCACAGCGTAAAAGACCCAAATAGCCAAACAAATCTTGAGAAAGAAGAAAAGCGCTGGAGGTGTCACTCTCCATGACTTCAGACTACGCTACAAAGTTATAGTAATCAAAACAGCATGGTACTGGCACAAAAACAGACACATAAATCAATGGAACAGAATAGAGAGCCCAGAAATAAACCCACACACTTATGGTCAATTAATCTACAACAAAGGAGGCAAGACTATACAATGGAGTAAAGACAGTCTGTTCCATAATCAGTGCTGGGAAAACTAGACAGCTACATGTAAAAGAATGAAATTAGGACATTCTCTAACACTATACACAAAGATAAACTCAAAATGGATAAAAGGCCTAAATGGAAAACCAGAAACCATAAAATTGCTAGAAGAAAACATAGGCAGGACACTCTCACTCTTTGATATAAATAGTAGCAAAATTTTTTTGGATCTGCCTACTAAGGCAAAGGAAACAAAACAAAAATAAACAAATGGGACCTGATTAAACTTAAAAGCCTTTACACAGCAAAGGAAACCGTCGACAAAATGAAAAGACAATCTAGTGCATGGGAGAAAATATTTGCAAATGATATGACAGATAAAGGGTTAATATCCAATATATGTAAACAGCTCATACAACTCAACATAAAAAAAGCAAACAACCTGATTTAAAAATGGGCAGAAGAACAGAATAGACATTATTCCAAAGAAGACATACAGATGGCCAATAGGCACATGAAAAGATGCTCAACATCACTAGATATTAGAGTAATGCAAATCAAAACCACAATGAGACACTACCTCATACTTGCCAGAATGGCCATCATTAAAAAGTCTGCAAATAACAAATGCTGAAGAGGGTGTGGAGAAAAGAGAACCCTCCTTCACTGTTGGTGGGAATGTAAATTGGTGCAGCCACTATGGAGAACAGTATGGAGGTTCCTCAGAAAACTAAAAATAGAACTACCATATGATTCAGCAATTCCACTCCTGGGGATATATCCAAAGAAAAGGAAACCATTAATTCAAAAAGATATATGCACCCCAATGTTCATAGCAGCACTATTTACAACAGCCAAAATACAGAAGCAACCTAAGTGTCCATCAACAGATGACTGGATAAAGAAGATGTGGTATATATATACAATGGAATACTACTCAGCTATAAAAAGAAATGAAATTTTACTGTTTGCAACAACATGGATGAACTTGAAGGATATTACGCTAAGTGAAATAAGTCAGACAGAGAAAGACAAATACTGTATGATATCATTTATATGTTGAATCTAAAAAATAAAACGAACTAGTGAATATAACAAAAAAGACTCACAGATATAGAGAACAAACTAGTGGTTACCAGTGGGGAGAGGGAAGGAGAAGGGGCAATAAGAGACACAAACTACTATTCATAAAATAAATAAGGTACAAGGATATATTGTACAGCACAGGTAATATAGGCAAGATTTGATAATGACTAGAAATGGAGTATAACCTTTAAAAATTGTGAGTCACTATGTTGTACACCAGAAACTTATATAATACTGTAAATCAATTATACCTCAATTTAAAAAAAAGAAAAAAAAGCACTATTTAGTTTTTATAAGGAGCCCGTTGAATGTCTTTCATAAATCCTTAGAGAAGTCAGAAATAGAAAGCTCCATATTTCCAGGAACATGGAAAACTTGACCCATAAAGGTAAAGTTACATCCTAGACTTGGAAAACAGGAAATTCTAGATGTTTTTTGGCAAAACACATGGTGCTCCGCCTCTCTCAGTGTGTGCGCTAAAGTTTTCCAAGTCTGTGCATTCCTTCTAACTTGGGAATTCTCTAAAGGCTGAAATTCCTGTTTCTGAAGAGGAATAGTGATATCAAGAGCAGCAACAAAACAACCTTCACAAGAACAAGCAGAGAGTATTGTCATTGTGGTTCCTTCGCAGAATCACACATTTCAAAACTCACCCTGTAGGACAGGACATCTCCCAGACACTGGGGAATCACCTCCCCACTGGGGAGGAAGGTAATTATTGTGCAGAAAAGGAAGTTGTGTGTGTGAATGAGCGCATTTGTGTCTTAGGCGTCATGGCTGGATAAACCACATCACTGGGTTGGGCAGGGCTGTGCATCTCGGAAATAGATGTTTCTTTGTTGTGATGGTTCCCCGAGAGATAAGAGAGAGCATGGAGCATCCCTCCTCTACAGACCAAGGAAAACACCCAAAGACAACATCAACATCAACAAGAAGGGCATAATGAGTGGGTTTGCTAGAAATTCCATCTGCATGAAGTGTGCTGGGAAAAGCCTGGCTGGTGAAAAACAGATTTGGCGCTTATTGTTTTGCTCAGTGAGTAAGCTGGCGAAGAAATGTGGGTGTGTGCTGCCGGGAAGAAAACAGACTGCAACAAAATATAGGAATCATTTTTTAATTAAGGAAAATGTATATAAAATGATGTTTGGCTCCTAAAATTAAAGCAAAATAAAAAAACAAGCACACATCCCTCCATCTCCCAATCCGTTTAAAACTGAAGCTGGCCAAACAGTGCATCCGGGTACAGTCAGCCAAGGAGGCGTGTGAATATAAAGACATAGTGGAGTGGTCCTGGGGGCTACTAAAAATGTAACCAACCCTCCCTGCAGCTTCCAATACGCCCCAGAGAGGGCTGCGGTAACCTGGCATTTGAGGAAGTTAGAACTTAACTGATGACCATCCCTGGCTTCTCCTCCTCCACAGTAGGGCCCGGTGAATCAGAGTTTTTGTGGTTATGCTATTCAAACAGGCAGACACTTGGTGGTTT